GAAATCCGTATGCAACATGGGTGGCGATTTTAATACGTGCTACTCTTGGATTGACGGCCATATCGGCATTCTCTGTCTCCATATCTCTCTCCAAGTATTCGTCATCCTCTCCAAAGTAACTAAGAATTATACCATCATTAGTTAGCAATCTATTCTCACAATTAAAAAAATTAGTTAGGAACGAGCTCACTTGGAGTTTTAGTTGCAGTGCTTGTGCTTTGGTAATTTGCCCTTGCGTGACTTTTAAATCTGAGGATTGTTTTGTGTATCCAAAGGAGTGATGTCCTCGTCATTAACTTTTTCTAAATCGGATGGATTTTATAGAGAAAATATACTAATATCTACTGTACCAAAAAATGCAGTGCATGAAAAATGTTATAGTGTATCTAAGGAGATTAATTTGGTGTGGATGTTGAAGCATTTGTCTATAAATTTGGTTAAGGCTAGAAAAATTTGACGTAGGACAAAACTACAATCACCTAAATTTTGGAAGAGAGAGAGTAATATCCATGGACGGACCCACATGGTATGCTGGGTGGGCCACCGCATACCCTGGGGTCTAGGTGTAAGTGAACCAGAATATAAATTTTTATGTAAGAAAAAAAGAAAAAAGCTTACTACCTGGTGGACACGCCCGAGTACCCGACGCCTCCTAGCCGTTCGGCTTCTGTGCGGGCACGCGAACTCGCGCATACGGCGCTCGGCGCAGTTACTCCGCTCCACCTGGCTCGGAACCCTACCGGTCCCACGCATTGACTCATGCGCACCGCCTGCAACCATCCCGCTAGATCGTCGCAATGCGCAAGCGGCAGAGTCGAATCCACGCGGTCACACCGACGCCATCACGGAACGACGCCACACGCCCACCGCCCACGCGGCCACGACGGTCGCCGACTCGCCAGACTCGGAGGCGCGGCCGCGGCGAAGCCCGACGCCGGAGGGCCTGCAACGTTATCGTCTCGGTCGGCTGCCGCTCGGCGAGATACTGAGACGCACAGTGGCAGACAGGTTTAAGATTAATCTTTTATTCTTCTTCTTACTTGTGTACTTAAATAGTTTTAATTATTTATGTATGAGTCATTTTTTTCCAGTTCGTGAGTTCATTCATCCGCATCACTGCATCAGATCAATAATTAGCATCCGGTCATTAGTCCATCATATCCTGTGATTTGTGAGTTTTCTAACCGAAAGTTCCAAACAGATCGATTCTATATTATGAATTATTTGGGTTTCATTTTGAACAATTTGTATCGAGATTTATCGTCGTTTGTAGCTTAATCTTTTAATTTAAGGCTCATCATATTATTTAATGTAGTTGGTTTTACCGAATTAGAATATAGTTTTACCGAATTGTAAATGGTTTACCGAATTGCATAAGAAATTTTTTTTACGGCATACCCTGTAATAAAATCCTAGGTCCGTCACTGGTAATATCCCCGTGAGGTGATTTAGGATGGTTAAAAAAACACCTTGCCAACAAAGACAGGGTTCGGAGATTTCCTTAACTTCCAAGTTTGAGTACTTTAACCTTCGTAGCAATTTTCTAGATAAGTCACCAGGTCTTCCACCAGGCTATCTAGCTGCTAGCAAATACCAAGAGTAACAAATCTTCAGCCTTGACTTGATAAGAATTTGGGTTAAGTCTAGCAAATCCGGCTTCAGCTAAGTCGGTTTTCCTACAGACTCGGTGCCAACTCTGGCCAAATTGATTTAGCCGTTTTGCCAGACTAGTGGACCGGATTTGGGAGAATCCGAGTATAATCTAGGAAACGTATAGATGAAGGGGGGGGGGTTGACCAATTGAGGGTATATTCAATCGATAAAAAAAATACATCTATTTTTTATGCATCTCAGACCATAATATCTTCCAACCCATATCTTGTTATTCTGTACATCTCTCGACGAGATTCGTGGATGTTCTAAGTGGCCTTGCCGGGGTGTGTTTGGTTGTGGGCGAGACAGCGAGGAGTCGGAAATCACACTTCATCCCAATGTTTGGCTAGGGGACCATACACCAGGAGAGAATATTGCCTTAAGATGTCGTGTACAGGTGTCCTTCAAATACTCAAGTATGAATTCATCCCTTGCCGACACTATTCTCCTCCGTTGGCCACATGATTTTCTTCCTCTTTCCTCATTTTATAGTTCAGGCCGGCTACCCGGCACCGACGGGCGGGCGACCTCGGTACCAGCGGGCGGGGCTAGGGGTGACGATGAAAAGGCAACATGGTTAGTGGGGGCGGTGGTAGACGAGGCAGCGGGGGCCAGGGCCGAGGCAAACAACAAAGTGGGAGGCCGAGGCTAGGGCCAGGGCTATGGCGGAATGGCAACTATGTGGAAGAAGAATAAGGTGAGAGAGGATGGCATGCATGTCCCACTCTAACGGATCATAAATGACAATACATCCTCTCGTTATGTTCCTCCAACCAAACACAGAACTAGGATGACTCCATTCCCTTAAATTAAACACCAGACCATACTATCCCAACACAAAAATATAATGGTTTCGGGGGGTCACTGGGATGGGACAGGGGCATGGGGCAATCCCGATTTCACTGGTCTTTGGTTTGAGGGCAAGATGGGATGGATCCATTCTGGCACGTGCGCACAGAGGGGTATTCTTCCTAGATTTTTGTTACTCCTGACCCTAGAAATAGAGGGGACAACACCTCTATCAATGACACCGCTCGTCCGTCTCACGCGGGCTGCGGGTGTAGCTCGAGTTCTTCCCCTCTAGCGTTGTTGCCCTAGTTGAGCTCGTGTGTCATGGCGACACAGCTCCTCTTGTCCCTGATTGAGCTCGCGGCAATGGCTCCTCCCCCTCCTCCGTGGTCTTCTTCTTTCGAGCTATAAGCTCGTGCTGGGAATGATGCATAGGGGTAGGTGGCTTTAAAACAACGGCATAGGGGCAGTGGTGCTGGGAATGGCAGGAAGGAGCAGGCGTTGTTGGGTGAGCGGGGTGTGCAGAGGGATGGAGGCATAGGGAACGGTGGGCCAGCATCACAGGGGGTGGCAGGCTAGCGGCGCATGGACAGGACACATGAGGCGCAGGCTTGTTGGCGACACGTATGGCTATGAGCAAGAAGATAAGACCAAAAAATAAAAGAGAGATAGTTATAGAGAATGATAGGTGAAGTCCACACATGACAAGGGGACCCGATGATAACTATTGCTATGTTGTGAAAACGTCATCCCATCCTCTAAATCTTTCCATCTAAACAAAGAAATTAGGATGGACTTATTCCCTTAACCAAACATAGAACTGGAATGATCCTATCTCAAAACTCAAAGATGAGGCTATCACGTCTCACGTTGTCTCTAAATCAAACATAGTAGTTGTGGTCGAGTATTACCAAGAGTACCTATGTGACACTAAGTGGTACTATGAGACATCAAGTGAGGCTGAGTCAGACCAAGTGATGGTAAGAAACACCCTTGTCAATCAAATTGACCTGGAGTATGGTATAAAAACTACATCGAATATATATTATATAGATTTTGGAAGGAACAGAGGAAGCATTAAGATTAGGGACGTATCTAGCGGTGGGGCGGGGAAAGGGGGGGGGGGCTCAAGCCCCTGTACTGCCATTGATCCCATGGAGCCCTCTAGAGCCTTTTGCCATGGTTGCTTTGAGGAGTACAGGCTGGAGGCTGAAGATGAACTTTCAGCTGTTATCCATGTTGCAAATACAACACTTCACCGACGACATGATCACGAGACAAGCATTGAAAAGTGATGCTCACAATTGGTATGAAGCAGACCAGACCATCAAATAGTTCATCATATGAATGAATCGCTCACCTCGAGAAGACCCTTCACCATGCAGCATCTTCTCCTTGTCTTGCCTGGCTGAGACCTTCACACTATGATAGTGTATTAGTCATCCTCTAGATGAACATGCTTGGATGAACTATGGAGCGTGTATGCATAGCATATAGGCATGAGTCGTCTATTTAGGGTGCGTTTAGTTCTTGCATGATCCAAGCCCACTAGATGCAACTTTCATGTGTTTTGTTTCCTGGTCTGCGGTTTTAGCTAGGCTGCTCCCATGCAAAAGCCGCCCCTCGGCCTGGCTCACTCCGTGCGGAAAATTTCTGCTGATTAAGATGGAACATTAGAGATCTATAACATTTGTACTAAAAATTTTGTCAACATATAGTGGTGGTAACCTAAATATTTTTTTAAACTGGTAACCTAAATATTTTTGTATAACGAGGATCACGCATAGTTCTAAAAACTTATGTCTCTGGCTGTGCTACTGTAGAGATAGCCGTATCCTATAGAAAATATACATATTATTATAAACTGATGTCAATTGTGTGTGATATTTCTTGTTGTGACTATGGTCATGTTCGCTTGTCTTATGAGCCATACTATTTTAGCGAACGAACAGTATTTTTTTATCACAATAAATCAGCGAACAGTACTTTCAGTCATCGTCCTGTTCACTTGGCTGATAAGCCATGGCTGGAAATACCATTGACTGATTTATTATGAGAGAAAAATACTGTTCATTCGCTAAAAAAGTACGAATTATAAACCAAGCGAATAGGGCGCATGGTTTTTCAGCAAAACGAACATGGCCTATTTCTCCTCTCCTGTTTGAATTCCTTAAATTTAATTCAGCAAAGCGAATAGGGCCTATTTCTTCTCTTCTGTTTGAATTCCTTAAATTTAAACTACCATATCTAGAACATGTTTTCTATTTTATTAATAGAACCATTTTCCAATCTCTCTCGACGCTTAGAAACCAAACAGGGTCTTAGACGACGTTTGGATATAGGGATACAGGAGGTAGGATACGGAAAGAAAAATGGATGAACGGTAATTAAATGAGACACGAGGAATGGATGGTTAGGATATAGTTATTCTCTGTCCATCTCTATCCCTAAACGAGCTTTTACAGTATAATCAAAACAAAATGTAAAACGGAAAAGAGAAGGTCGGTCAGCCACGCACTCGCGGGGACGAAGCACACCAAGCAGCTTGCAGATCCCCCATGGCAAGCTCCACCTCCCTCCTTCCCCTTCTCGTCCCCGCCCCTGCCTCTCGCCACCGTTTCCACACGTCCACGTCCGCATCCCCCCGCCACCTGCGCCCATCCCCTGCTCCTCGCCTCCTCCGCGCTGCCCGGCGTCGTCACTCCGACGCCGTCGTTGTCGTCCCAGATGCCCGCCCCTGGGTCGGCGATCTCTCGGGCGCCGCCGCGTCCTACCGGGACGGAAGCGAGGAGGACGAAGACGACGCAGATGAAGAGGAGGACGAAGACGAGGACCGCAGCCTGGACCTACTGGCCCGGTTCCTGCACTCCGTGTTCAGGAAGGCCTCCCGCCGCGCGCGCCGCGCTGCCAGGTCCGTGCTGCCGCCTTCCGTCCCTGCCGAGCTGGTCCGTTCCCCTCTTCGTTTATCTCCTCTATTTTAGTTTTATGTTGGAAATTGGCGGTGCGGAGGAATGATGCTGGGATCTCTCGGTATTGGGCTTGATCTGGTGGTGCCATGCGTGTGTAGGTGAAGTTTTCGGTCAATGGCGTGCTGGTCCTGACGTCCTTATGGATCCTGAAGGGTCTTCTCGAGGTGAGCGATTCATTCATCAGTGTCATTTGTTCTTCTGAAGGGCATCTTGGTTCAGGGATCAAGTATCTAGTTCATGTTGATGAGTCATCCTTTGCATTCTGCTTAGAGAACTCCTTTTCAAATTTGGTTGTTGGATGCTTTGATTCTTAAAACTGTGGATTGATGCTAGGATTATTAGTTGTGCTGTCATATGGTTAGAGTTGTATACATAATGCTCAATTAGTTGGATATGTATTTCACAAATAAACCAGGGGGCAGGGGATTACCTTAGCTCTTCAACGAAATGAAAAATAGTTTCAGACAGGAAGAGTATAATGAAGCATAAGGCTTACTGGATGATAAATGTCTTGGGCTTTTGAGATAGCTCAAGCTTTAGCACAGATAATGCAAAGGCACAAGATAATCAAGTAGAACTAGCCAAAATAGAAGGATGATGTTAGCCCACAAGATCACCGGCTCAGGTGAGTCGACCACTCACCAATCTTGCCGACCACGGCCGAGCACGACAGACGTTGTCCGACCACACACTATGGCTAGAGATAGAAGAAGAAACGGAGAACAGAGCATACACACACAGCCAGAGACACCAGCGTTGGTCGGAGCCCTATATAGGAGATGACAAATCTGAACTCTCTCTTTACTGAGTTGCAGTGGCAAACTATATATACAACTCTACCATCTAGTCCTAGTACAGCTGCCATGCCGTAACAGTGACTAGATAACACAGCAGGGCTGACTCTGGCGTCTGCTTCTGCTGTGGCTACAGTGCGGCAGGTGAGCCCTTCGGCACCTGCCCCTGCAGCGGCTATAATACCACAGCAGAGTACCTTTTCGGCGCTACCTTCCTCTGCCGTGTGTTCACACAAGAGAGCAGTAGATTATCTAATAATTCTTCCCCTAATCCTACTGCTAACCCTTGAACCCCCTCCATGCCTATCATCTTCTTCAGCTCCGTGAGTCGAAGACGGCCGAGCGGCTTGGTGAGGACGTCCGCGAGTTGCTGACCAGTTTCGACGAACTCGATGAGGATCCGCCCTGCATCGACACAGTCCCTGAGGAAGTGGAACTTCACGTCGATGTGTTTGCTCCGGTCATGGAGAACCGGATTCTTCGCGAGGGCGATGGTGGGGTGGTTATCCACCATCAGTGCTGGTGGGTGAGCTTCTGTACCGGTCAGCTCGCCCAGCAGCCGGCGCAGCCACACAACTTGGCATGCCGCTGTGGCCGCCGCTACGTACTCTGCTTCGCACGTAGACAACGCCATCACCTTTTGTTTCAGCGACAGCCATGAAATTGGAGTCGACCCGAGGAAGACGAGCACGCCAGAGGTGCTCTGTCGTCCGTCGATGTCCTCCGCCATGTCTGCATCGCTGAACACAGTGAGCTGCAGCCTGCTTCCGCCTGTCTTGGGGAAGACGATCCCTTGATCCACCGTCCCCTTGACGTAGCGTAACAGTTGCTTCACCGCAGCCCAGTGATACTCTCTAGGATCCTCTATGAAGCGACTGATGTAGCCCACGACGAACGCAATGTCTGGCCTCGTGTGGACTAGGTAGCGCAGACCGCCGCCGATACTCCGGTAGAGTGTTGCATCCACCTTCGCCGCAGTGCTGGCCTTCGTCAGCTTCAGTCGCTCCTCCATCGGAGTCACACATGGCTTGCACTCAGCCATGCCGCTCCGCTCTAACAGCTTCGAGGCATACGTGCTCTGACCGAGCGTGAGTTCCTCTTTCCCCTGTCTCACCTCGATGCCGATGTAGTAGGAGAGTGCGCCGAGATCGCTCATTCGAAAACGAGCCACCATCTTGCGCTTGAAGCTGTCGATGTCCTCCGCACGCATGCCGGTGACGATCAAATCGTCCACATACACGCCGATGACGAACTCCTTCCCCCGTCGCCGTGTGTAGAGCGCATGCTCGGTTGCGCACCGTTGGAACCCAAGCTCGCCCAACGTAGCGTCAAGCTTGGCGTTCCATGCTCGTGGGGTCTGCCGCAGCCCGTAGAGCGCCTTGTGCAGTCGGAGCACCCTGTGCTCCGCTCCCTTGACGGCAAAACCTGGAGGTTGTCTGATGAAGACCGTCTCCGCCAGCTCGCCGTTGAGGAAGGCCAATTTAATGCCCAGGTGATGGACGCACTAGTCCTTTGCTGCTGCCAAAGCTAGTAGCAAACGGACAGACTCCATGCGCGCTACCGGCGCAAAGACTTCCTCGAAGTCGATGCCCTCGCGCTGAACAAAGCCTTGGGCGACGAGGCGCGCCTTGTGTTTGACAATGGCGTCGAGCTCGTCCCGCTTGACCTTGTACACCCACTTTAGGCTGATCGGACGGCATCCTGGAGGTGGATCGACGAGCTCCCATGTCTCGTTTTCCTCGATCGCCTTCATCTCCTCCAGCATCGCCCGTCGCCACTCTCCATCGCACTCGGCCAGCGCGAACGTGGGTGGTTCCTCTGCACTGATGAGCAGCAGCTCTGGGTCATTGAGCACCCTACCCGCCAGGCCTGAGGGCTCTGTGCCGCTGATGATGTCGTCCAGCCTGCGGAACCGCACCTCCTCACCTTCGTGGAAGGCGTCCACGAACTTAGTGATATCACTTGGAGGTGAGGCGAACTCAATTGGCATCGATAGAGTTCCTTGTTCCACCGGAGTGCTCGGCACAGCAGCTGGAGTGCTCGGCACTACTCCTGGACCGCTCGTCACCACTCCTGGAGTGGTCTGCACCCCTCCCGGAGTGCTCGGCACCAGTCTTGTAGTGGTCGGCACCACTGCAAGACTGCTCGGCTCCGTTGCGGGAGTGCTCGGCTCTAGTCCTGGAGTGCTCGGCTCTATTGCTGGAGTGCTCGGCACCCCTCCCGGAGTGCTCGGCACCTCTTCCCCAGCGTCTCCACCACCGTGGATGATCAAGTGCTCGACGACGAAGGTGCTGGTTAAGCCGTCAGCTTCCCCCGTGCTCGGACTGTTCCAGTCCCAAGCCGCCTTCTCGTCGAACACAACGTCGCGCGAGACAAGTACCTTGTCTCCGCGTGGGTCGTAGAGCCGGTACGCCTTGGTACCCTCTGCGTAGCCTAGGAACACCATCAGTGTGCTCCTGTCCTCCAGCTTGGTGCGGATTGGCTTCATCTTCCTAATGTGGCCGATGCAGCCGAATGTCCGGAGGAAGGACACTCTTGGCTTGTGTCCATACCAAGCCTCGAACAGCGTCTTGCCCTTCAGGGCTTTGGTGGGAGCGCGGTTGAGGATGAACACCGCCGTGGTCACCGCCTCACCCCAGAACCTTGCCGGTGTGCCTTTGGCCTTCATCATGGATCGAGCCATGCCGACCACCGTCTGGTTCCGTCGCTCCACCACGCCATTCTGCTGTGGCGAGTACGACGCGGTGTGGTGGCGCACCACACCCTGATCCGCGCAGTACGCAGCGAACTCCACCGAAGTGAATTCGCCGCCGCGATAAGTCCTCAGCATGCGGAGCTTCTTGCTGCTCTTAGCCTCCGCGCACATCTTGAACTTTTTGATCGCCGCCGCCGCTTCGTCCTTGCTCGTCAGGAGTTGCAGCCATATGTAGCGACTGCTATCATCCACGAGCAGGATGAAGTACCGCCTACCACCGTTAGTGGCTGGCGTGATCGGCCCACAGAGGTCGTCGTGGACGAGCTCGAGAGCGTCCATCGCGCGATACTTGGCCGCCTTTGGGAACGGTAGCCTTCTCTACTTCCCGGCCAGACAGCTGTCACACAGCTCGCCTCCGTGCTCGATGTGGGGTAGCCCTCGAACCATCTTCTCCAGCCGACCAAGCGCGTCGAAGCTGAGATGTCCGAACCGGGCATGCCACAGCCACGGTTCCTCGGTGTGCCTTGCCGTCAGGCACACCGGCTGCTCTAACTTCAGGTCGAGCAGGTACAACCGGTTTAGGGACCTCTTCACCTTGGCAAGTCGCTGGTCCCGGTCCCTGATCCTGAGGACTTCGTTCTTGATCTGTACCTCGCTACCGCGCTCATCTAGCTGACCAATACTGATGATACTTGAGCGCAGCTGTGGGATGTAATATACATCCGTTAGCGCGCGGTGCTCCCTGTTCTGGCACCTGAAGATGATGGTGCTGCGCCCTTGGATTGCCACCCTTGAGCCGTCACCAAACTTCACCGTATCGGTAACATCGTCGTCGAGCTCGGAGAAGGCTGTCTTGGAGCCCGTTATGTGGTTGCTGGCACCAGAGTCCAGATACCACCGCTGCTCCTGCTCGCCGCCCAGACGTCCGAGTTGGACTTCAGCGCGCGGTTCGTCGAGGTTGACAGCTTTCAGGGCCTTCCCAGGTCCTTTCGCCGTTGTCGCCTCTCCCTTCTCCTCGGCCTCGACGTCGTGCGGTGCATAGAACGTCGCCATCAGGATAGTGGCCTCATCATCATCATCAGCTTGCGCCAGATAAGCCTCAGCCTTCTTCTCCTGCTTGCGATTTGGGCACTCCCGTGCCCAATGGCCCGTCTTCCCGCAGTGCCGGCAGGCGTTGGGGTCGACCTGCTTCTTCTTCTTCGAAGAAGCCTTGCCGCGGCGCTTGCCATCGCCACCGTGGCTGGAGGAGGCTACCCCGGAGTTCCTCCGAGCAGCCCACTCCTCCTCTGTCGCTGCCAGCAGTTGCTTGTCGTCGCCGTTCGTTGTCGCCGCCGCTCCAGCGCCGTCCACCGTCCGCAGACGGCCTGTCACATCCTCAATGGTGAGGGTGGACAAGTCCAGTATCGTCTCTATGGAGAGAGCGATCTGGATGTACTTTGCCGGCATGGAGTGGAGGTACTTGGAGACCGCTTCCTCTTCGTCGATGGTGACGTCGTGGCTCTTCAGCTTGCTGATGAGCGTCTGCAGGCGGATGGAGAAATCCTCCACCGTTTCACCATCGTTGAACTTGAGGTTGGCGTACTCCTGCTTCAGAAGCTGGGCCGTCGCCTTCTTTGCGCGGTCAGAACCGACGCGCATCGCCGCAATAGCCTCCCACGCCTCCTTAGTAGAGCTCTTCGCTTCAACGGCTCCTCAGCCTTCGCCCGCATGACAAGAACGAGGATAACTTTCAACGCTGACATGTCATCTTCTTCATTGTCGGTGCTTTTGTCAACAGCATTCCAGAGCCGTCGGGCTCTGAGCTTGACTTTCATGGTCACCGACCACTCCATAGTTGGTGCGAGTCAGCGTCGGCCAACTGGTGCCGCTGACCTCCCGCACCGTGCGAACAACGACCTCCTGTCGTGGTTGGACAGCCACAGCAGTGCCACTGCTGTCGCCCATCTCCGAACCGTCCGTCATCGTCAGCGGTTATTCCGGCGACGGCGCTTGTACGGCTCCGATACTACTTGTTAGCCCACAAGATCACCGGCTCAGGTGAGTCGACCACTCACCAATCTTGCTGACCACGGCCGAGCACGACAGACGTTGTTCGACCACACACTATGGCTAGAGGTAGAAGAAGAAACGAAGAACAAAGCATACATACACAGCCAGAGACATCAGCGTTAGCGGAGACCCTGTATAGGAGATGACAAATATGAACTCTCTCTTTACTGAGTTACAGTGGCAAACTATATATACAACTCTACCCATCTAGTCCTAGTACAGCTGTCATGCTGTAACAGTGACTAGATAACACAACAGGGCTGACTCTGGCGCCGGCTCCTGCTGTGGCTACAGTGCGGCAGGTGAGCCCTTCGGCGCCTACCCCTGCAGCGGCTACAGTACCACAGCAGAGTACCTTTTCGGCGCCGCCTTCCTCTGTCGTGTGTTCACACAAGGGAGCAGTAGATTATCTAATAGATGCATCACTCGAAGTCAGCTGTTGCCTCATCAGGTAAGGTACCAGAGGGTCGTCTTCTACTGTTGTACAGTAGTAAGCTTGAGCTCGGCTCATGCACCATGCGGCATGTCCTCCTTGTCATGCCTGGCTGAGACCTTCACAGTATGATAATGTATTAGTCATCCTCTAGATGAACAGGCTTGGATGACTATGGAGCGTGTATGCGTAGAATGTGGGCACGGGCTGTCCATTTAGGGCACATTTGGTTCCCTGCATGAGGCTCATCCAGGCCCACTAGATGCAACTTTCACGTGTTTGGTTTCCTGATCTGTGGTTTCAGCCAGGCTGCTCCTGTGCAAAAGCCGCCCTTCGGCCTGGCTCGCTCCATGCGGAAAAAAATCTGCGTATCTGGCGATGCAGGCTTGCTTCATGCAGGCAAGCACATGGGGCCAGATGCACAGTGAGAGAAAACGAGTTGGCTGATGGCTGTGCACGGGCAACCAAACAGGCTCCGCATCTGGCTTGGTTGTCTGAGTGCGGGCAACCAAATAACTGCTACTTGCATGTGATTGGCATGGCTACCTTGGGCCTGTATGGGTTGAGCGGACCAGGCTGGGAGGGGAAGGGAACCAAATGCGCCCGAAGCTGTAGGAAGGATGTGTATATATAAATCAGAAACGTGAACTGTACTGTAATTATCTAAGGCGTAAAATACGGTCAAAAACTGTTGCCAGATGTTTTTTTTTTATAATGGTATATGCAGCTGAATAAACTCATAGAGTTCATAATATTATGTGAATGAGGGGTTTCTTATTTCAGTTTGGTACATGTTTATACTGTTTGATTAGCCCAAGTAACACTCTGCATCTAGTATTTTTAAGGTTTGAACTATTTTTACTTTCTAGCTAGCTTTATTCTCGTTGGCACCTGCATTCAGACAATAGCAATTTAAATTTCCATCCATTGTCTATTTTAGTTGGGTTTATTGCTAAAAACTGGTTGCATGGGTGCAGATTACAGGTCTTGTGCGAGCCTTTTTATCTGAGCTTATCATTTATCACCCCAGTAGCCATTCTCAGTTGAGAATCAAAATAGAAAAATGTTTTATCAGCCCACCTTCCAATCAAATGTTCACTCAATCACTTTTAGGCTGATGTTAATTAAATCCTATCTGCAATTTGAGTATTTGACCTTGTGCAATCAGAGCCCCCTACAACCTTGTAATTGTCTAATTAGGCCCTTACTGAATCTGATCAACGCAGAGGTAGGAACAATAGCACAAGAGATACTATTGTTTCCACAAAGTAAAGAACCATGAGCAGACTCACAAGTACCATCAATATCTACTGGAGGAGCAGCAACGAAGGTGATAATAAGTATGGGAGTTGTGGTCAATAGGATATGGATCATCAAAATGCTGAACCTTTCAATGTAAAGATGGTTTTTTAGTGTTACTATCCAGAAACAACCCCACAGGCTTGTCTTTTACGTCTCTCTAAAATTGCAGTGATGGTAAAATCTTGGTTTATTCAAATTGAAAGACTCTCAAGCACACGCATTAACTAGAAAGAAAATAGATAATAGAATGCTTGCCATTTGACATTCTGTCATATGGGGCTGTAACTCTGCCTATAGAAACAGCAAGACGAGTAATATGACAGTGTCAAGTGTTAACACTAGATCTGAGATTTTTGGTGCTGAGCTAGGAAAGCCCCCCCCTTTCCTTTATTCTGGCCTAAATTTTACTGCACACCGAAGCCTGATACTGTGAGGCCATCAGACCTATTACTGTCTAAAACTAATGAAACTGAGTTTCCATCTAGCTCCAGTTTATTTTGGGCTTGGCAATTAGTACTGTCTTGGCACAGAATACCTATCAAGCTTGTTGGGCTGGACCTGGGTTCAGGCTTTAGCCCGGTTTAATTTGCTTTGTTCTTGTGAATTGGCGCAGCAGGTGACATGGCCCGGTCTATTCACTGTAAGCTTGGATTAACTTGTGGTTGTAGGAGTACTAGCTGACAAAGAAATCGGCAACAACCAGGAAAACGTCATGTAGGATCAAGACAAGCTTAAGAACTATAGTTTGGATTTAAGTAGTTTGCTGGTTCAGTCCATATTCAAGCCAACGCATGTTGTTCATGTTATATTCCTGGTTACCACTTACCAGTACTGACCCAAAAATATTTTTCTCATTAACCCAATTTACTTAGTCTTCAACTGATATCAGGTAGTGACGGATCCAATGTATGTTTTCCATGTTGTGTTCAGGGTTACCAGCACTGACCCAAAACTTTTGTTCACATTAACCGAATTTACTTGGTCTTCCCCAACTGATATCAAGTAGTGGTTGATCTGTGCGACAAAGACAGCAATTACTCAATTGGGGTAGGGGTTACAACTGCCTTATATGAGGTCATGCGAATGTCCAGCAATTGCATCCATCGGCATGTGGTCAGATTCGTGTTTGAGACATTAATTAGGTTCGCATTGGTCAGATTATTGGAAATTCCTCCTGACTGCATTTAAATGGGCAGCCCATACAATGGTTCTTGTCATATACCTCTCAACGCTTTAAATATAATTCTAAAAGAAATGCTTTAGACAGATAGAATGTCAGGTTCAGTTTGTTACCTGTACCTCTCAAGGTTAAGTTTGATTGTAGGCACTAGGCAAGATGACAAGTCCATGGTTAAGTTTGTTTGTCAGCTTAGAGAACATCTTCAAATTTTCAGTGGCTGCATCATTAAAATATGATTTTTCTGTGGAGCATTTAACAAAAGGCCTTGCATTCTTGCATTGATGCTTGCTGCAGATTTCATTCCTTCATTTCAGTAAAGCCGGTTCATATTTCGTGTGCGCAGGTGGTCTGCACATTTGGAAGCATGGTGTTTGCAAGCATCCTTCTTGTTCGTGGTATATGGTCTGGGGTGACATACATCAGAGAAAACCGTTACAGCTATATTCACCGGATCGACAACGATGAGAACCGATGGAGCAGAGTGCAGACTGCTGGTTGATATTTTGCTTTCCTTCTGTATGAACAGACGCCACGCCCTGCATTGGCAGGCTATATATAATACAAAAAGAAAAAAATGTGGTCAGCAATGAATAAAATGCGCCCCGGTCCAGTGCCAACTACGATGATTGTTGCTGCAAGACCCCGCGGCTGAACGAGGATGCAACGAATCCGCATGACCACATGTACCTGCACAGAAAGTGGTTCCTTTCGAGCTGGGCCCCTTGAGGATTGATGGTTGAGTTGATCATTCATAGCTCATGCGTACAGTGCAGGGAAGGATGCAAATTGTGCTTAAGGATCGGGATGCTTTTGGAGGTGCCTGGCTGGGCTTGCGTCGGCCGTGTGTATGTATGACTACGACCAGTCGACACCGATGCTCGCCGCAGATTTACAAGAACTCATAGCTGTATACGCAAAACTCTCGCTGGTTTAGGGTGCAGGGCATTGCGATTTTTATTTGGAACACGCACAGTAAATCAGAAACTCGTATTATGTATCTGATGTTTCATCACGTCACCGTTCTGACACGCAGTGGACTCGATCACGGAAGTCCCACTAATAGGTTGTCTTCAGGATCGTGCCTGGGAGATCCGAGTCTGGCCAACCGTCCTCTCTGATCCTTAAGAAGCTGTCGCCGCTTTCGCAATACTGTCGTGACTTCGCAGTTGTTTTCTCTCAAAATTTTTTTCTGATAGCTAACTCGCTATCGCGTGGTGCCGTGGCATACGGGCAGTTAGCTGGTGTTTTCCTGAGGTTGCAGCTGCTGACGACCTCACCTAACGCTAGTAAGCTAATTCACCGTGATCTGCTGCCTGAATTTTTCCAGTGCAGAAATATTTAAACCTTCTCCACGTACCGTCTAAGAATCTGTTGGTTGCAAAGCCGAAGTGAGAAAGAGAGAGAACGACTCGGAGCTAGTCTCTGTTTGGATTTTATGGTCTAAACCCGTTTCACTTTTCATGTGACTCGGTCAATGTTCGGCTGACCAACAAGTCGGCTTGTTCGGCTTCTTTTTTCAGTGAGAGCAGTGTTTTTCTCTCACAACATTTCAGTATAAACAGTGTTTTCTAGCATAAACAGTGAAAATTTGATACCAGCCGAACACTGCCTCGGACGAACAAAGGAACAAAAGGCGTGGAAAGCGCGGTGAATAAACTCTACCGCCTCAGTACCAAGTACTACTCCTATCAACGTGCATGCGCGACACGCAACAGCTGATCTACGGTAAGCAAAGCCGCCTTGTTTTATGTTATGCCTACCGAATTTTGCCCGTTCGCTCGCAGACAAGATGTGGTGGGAACCACGACTCTGCAGTGCGCATGCCAGTCAGAAGCTAGCTTAACGGAGCAGTGGTCAGCAGAGGCGTGAACACGATTTGCACGAGCCACTTGTCCGTTGGCTGTTGCCATCAGCATTCACTCGCCCTCCGCTACCTGTCAACCGCCAGATGTCGGTCCGATCCGATAATCCGATGGCTACGGTATCGCCCGCACACGGGAGGATCTTTGGGCGCTGTGCGCTGGCCCAGATGAAACGCATGCCGGGCGCACGACCGCCGCCGACGTGGCGGAACCAGGGTCTCACGACCACGGGGAGAACTGCTGGCGCGCTGTGCGCTGGATTGATGCGCATTCAAAGTTCGCAGCAACGTGATTGGATTCGACAATTCGAGTCCGATCTCGTGCGGGGCGGCGCGGGTACAGCAGCGGGACGGACGGACATTTACGCCGTGCTTGACCCATAAAGGCGCGGCCTTGCGCTGTGCCACTGAGAGCAAAGTCAACAATAGATAATACAATTATTGTCTTATATAAAAAGATTTTTTATTATTACGTGGTATCATATCTTGCATTGTCCACGCCGTTCCTTCTCGCATACACTTGTATAACGTATACTATGGGGGTATTTGGTTGTCCCTCCTAAATTTTAGCCGTTGTACCATTGGATATTTGACACATGCATGAAGTATTAAATATAGACTAATTATGAAACTAATTACATAGTTTGCGACTAATTTACGAGACGAATCTTTTGAGCCTAATTAGTCCATGATTTGACAATGTTTTGCTACAGTAAACATGTGCTAATGACGGATTAATTATGTTTAAAAAATTCATCTCGTGGAGTACTGACGGATTATGTAATTTATTTTTTTATTAGTATCCAAACACCCCATACAACATCCTCCCGACACACCTCCTAAATTTTAGTAGCTGGATCCAAATACCCCCTATAAAAGAACGAAAAAATTGAAATGTGGTTCATTTGATAGATGGTACATTCTACAAGTAAGTTTTGTTCTGGTTTCCCATAGATTGATAGCTCACCACCAGAAAAAATGACCTTTTTTGGTTTCTTTAGTTTACACGAATGTAAATAAAACAGAGTTCCTTAATGATTGAACTACAGTTTATATCCTTGCTCAAATCTCCATATAATACCCTTAATACATTTGGAGGTCTAATCTAACGTTAAAAGAAACCTTTGGAGTCTACACAAACACCTGACGTTCTTGGTCTTGTAGGTATGACCTAGCTAAATATTTTTGCATAAGAGAAGAAAGTATTTAGAATACAACCCACATAACACACACAACCAAACATATACTGAATTGATTCTGTTTAGAATGCTATAGTGATAGGTTGATTGTATAACATGATGGATTTATTACCATAGACGAATATAAAGCTAAATGTTGGAGAAAATGGAGAAGAGGAATTGACAAGGACAGAAGAAAAGAGTTTGATGGGATACTAATTTATTTCTGGTTGAACTTATGGAAAGAACGGAATCGAAGAACATTTCAACAAAAGGAGCTACAACCCCCGTTGAAGTGGCCTACCAAATCAGGGAAGATGTTCAGCTATAGAGCATAGCATTTAGAATTGATCAAAATGGATGAGGAAGAGGTGCAAAATCGGTGGTTTTCAACGCCTCGACGACACTCAGTTTTTTTCATGATCTTCTGTTCTTAGTAAAGCTCTATTCAAGTTAGGTCGTCCATGTAGTTCTTTTGGTGTTTGCTTTTTCCAGGTTTCCTCTATCCCTCTTGTGTTTTCAGGTTTTAGATTGGCCATGAACGCTTGGGGTCGATGCTTCAGATTTTCCCTAGACCATGTAGAAGGATCGATCTTCGTTTAGATTCCAAAAAGAATACTGCAATCCCCTTAACCATGGTGATTTTATTTCTAATTTCAAATATTCATATATATCCTTATTTCCCTTTTTAAATTGTTTTCTATTCCTATTGTATTTGGTGTGTGCCACTTTTACCTGACTTTTGCTGGTTGATTCACCATGGTCTGAAGGTGGGTGAAACTAAGGAATTCATTTGAAACCTGCTTTTAACTCTATGTCAGATGGAGGCAATGTTTTACATCAGTTTAGGCTACCCAAACTGTTTAACATTGTTTAGCAACAAAAACAAATTATTATCTCACTATGGTCCAATATATGTTTTTTATGATTCAGTATGATATATGCTAATTGTTGAGATACCAGGATAAATGCCTAATAAAGGAACAAGTCATAAATGGTCAAGATGATTTTTTATCACATAAATGTGTCACCGCTAATACAAATTTTTTATCATCGCAATGCATGACAAATCACGATATACACACGTGTGTGTCGCATGCATTTCCACTAGTACGAGAAAGGAAAGAAAGATGTAGAATCTTGTGTCTCGAGCCTATCTTTTTTAATGTGTTTTGTTTGGAGATAATGAGCGATGGGATGGTTCTGTCCCTAATTTTTGGGACGGTATCATCCCTATTGTGTGTTTTGTTCGAAGGGAGAGAAACACATCTTCTATATTTGGTTCCACGACATCAAAATGAGAGATGAATCATCCACCTTTGACTTGCTCGCTCGCGTTTGCTCTTTCGCATTCACGCCTGCCAGCATTGCCATTGCAGCTCGCCCTAGTCCCCACATGCATTGCTCCGCTACCCGCACTCGCCTCGCCACTTGCATGCACGGAGAGGAAGAAAGGGAACAAGCTTGTCCCCTTGTGTTTAATTTTGCTAAAAAGGATCAATATCATCTAAGAGACAGCATGAACACAAATATACGGATGCAAGTTTTATATGACCTCAATTTAGATATGATTTGATCAATCGGTGATCAAAATTTTATAATGCTCGCCTTTTACTCGTCAAATACGATAATCGTTTTTGGACGGAGGGAGTACTTTGTTGCGTCAATCATGCGCCCGGATGCGTAAATGAAGGGCACGTGATGGCACGGCCCTACCATCCGTTGCAACTTGTCCTGTCACCATGCAAGCACATGTGGTTGTGGATCCATCACGTCCATTCCATAATTCTGAAAAGCGCCCAAGCACACGCAGCTTTGCCAAATGCAATCCTGAACTCATAACTCCAATCGAGACAGCCCATGTTCATGCTTGTCCGTCAGTCTAATGCGTATTTGCCGCCTTTTTAATCTCCACTCGTATATGACTAAAATGTTGACCGGTGGTCATATATATGGAGACTCATAGTTTGGGGGTGGGGGTAGGGGGATTTATAATAATGATGACTATAATAGACGAAATGGGATATCATTATCAACAGACGAAAACGTACACATGGTTGGTGGGAATGGTGGTACTATGGCACGTACACAGCTGGGGCACGAGTTTTTAATTTCCAAAGATCGCTTGATTCCAAATCTTGCATCACAGGGATAATTGATTGCTAGCGGTCCGCGCGTGACACGGGCATCTCGCACTCCTGCCACATCGCATCTCTCCAAACCCGCCATAAAATTATCTTCCATAACAAACCCACCATAAACTAGCCCCAACCTTTGCGTCCGTGCTCCAATTGTGATTTGTGAAAAGGACTCGAGCGCGCAGGCGGTGGTGGTGCGATCTAATCACAAACCAGGGGCTGCCTGCCGGACATGGGTTTGCATGCGCAGGATCCAGGATTCGTCGCGCCCGTGATGCGCGGGGCGGCGAGACGGACGGACGGCCCCGCACCGCAGCCGCAGGCTGGAAGAGATGGCGCCATGCATGGCTGCCCTGCCTGCCCACCGGCGGCACGGCACGCTCTCAAGTCCCAACTGGACGCGTGCTGCTGCTGGTCGTACACGTGAGTTGGCTCGGCCAGGCGCCGGGCGCACGGCGCAGCCGTCGCGACGTGCACCGTGGACCAGCACCAGCTGCATGCGCGACATCTAATATTTCTGTCGTGTCTCTCCAGATTCATTCCACCCATGGTTTCATCAGTTTGGCTCTTCGATCCTACCTGTCCTAGTGTGCTGGTCCTGGCAATCGAGCTCCGTTGGTCCCGGCGGTCGGCTACTCTGATGTGTGGATACCACGGGCACTACGAGTTGTTTGAGTACGAATCTACGGTGGCCTCAATCTAATGTAGTCCCAATACACGTAGATAACTGTTTTTTTTTTCTCCACAAGTTTCTGGTTCCAATATACAAGATGTAATCGTTTTTAGGGGTGGTGACTGACACGGGCGGCGCCCCCAACGCCGATCTCCTCCTTTTTCTCATCTCCTTCCCCTGTGGCTGCCCGAGCTCACCGATGGGTGCCTGTCCAGCAAGGCAGGACCGTACACCCTCTCTTCGTCTATTGTTTTTCCTCTTGGCTCGCTCGTCCTTGGCCACCGGTTGCCATGGTCGGTGGTCGCATGGCTGTGCAGTCAAGGAGCCAATCCGCGTGGAGGATGGCCAGATCTGTTCTCCTCCATCACGGATCTATGTGCCTTTTGTTCTCTACAATTCTCTGGTGCGGGCACGGCCCAACATGTGGTCTCAATATTAACGGCGTCGATGGAAGCTTACGCGGGTGCAGGGATGGCATCGGTGAGGCTCTCTTCCCCGGTCCTCAACTCCCTCTCCTATCCTTCCTCCTCGTGTCCGCTCTTGGTGGCAACCATGGCAGGGGCTAGGCAGCTCAATGATTGGCTGATCCGCCGTCCCCTAGGAGGCTAGGATGGGCCCCGCCTTCCCATGTAGGTTAGTTTAGGGAAGCGTCTTAGTTAGGCCAGCGTTGGTCGCGTGTTTGGTTGATGACATGGGTGGCCTCTAACACCAAATGGTAGCTGCGGTGCGGCCTTGGTTGTGGCTCTAGGCAACATTGACAATGACAAGTTGGCAAGGGAGCACAGTTTGGTGCTGGCATCGCAGTGTTAGTAGGCTGCACTTGACCATGGTGTCATGTTTTGACATCCTCTTGGCGTGCCGAACCTTAACGTGAGTGTGGATGGCTCTAGGCTCTAGGCTTGGTTTGTGTGACCGAAGCTAATGACTGTGACGTTCATGAGCGCCACTCTTTCTATCGGGGATTGCAAAGTTATAGATCATATCAATCTCTACAATTTTGATGTCAAGTTTGTATTTAGCTAACTTATTAATATGGCAATATGATTTTTTATGAAGAAGAAAGAAGATATCACATGGCATATGGGCCCCACCATAATGTCAGCAAAACCATCAAGTAAACAACTTTAAAATAGTTAAGCGGGGTATTCTGTTGAGGAGGATATGTCGTCTAATATTTAAGTTCGAGAGTGTCTTTTAAATTTAGCAACAAGTTTAGAGGAGCAAATTAGACATTAGTATAAAAACAAAAAGAAGAGTGCAACAACCGTAAGATCTGTACTCTATGTTGTCAGAGTGTCATTTTCATCTTGAGGGCAGCAACCGTAAGATCTATACTTTATGTTATCAAAATGTCATTTTCATCCTTTGTTGTTATGGGTGTGCTTGGTTTGTTATCGTAAAGTTGCCAAAACACGCCACCGTTTTTGTGCCGCACTTGCGGCGTACCATGGCGTGGCCACAGGGGTGTAGTTCATTTTCTATGCCACACCTTGCCAAAAGCTTGGCGAGGAAAACACACGCCGCAGTCTTGGCGCCGCCCCTATGTGGCTCGATGAGCTTTGGCACATGCCAAACAACCCTATATACTACACCTCACTACAAGCCTACTTTATTTGTCCCCCAAAAATGCAATTATATAACTAAGCACATATACCAAGGATAGATGAAAAATTATAATAATACCCCTAAAAAGTCGCCAGCCCAATATCTACTGTATCGTAGTGCTCTATATTATGGAAACGCAGAGTTCGTTTGTAAGGGCTGTGGTAGCTCTTTTTTTCTTTTGTGCGCAGCAGCTTTTTTTTCTTTGGAACAAGAAACAAGGGTGGAAGATATCTTGTGCTGGTTTTAGTATTTTAGATGGGCTCCATGACACGATGACCTATGTACTGTGTGTACTTATTTTAAGATAAAATTTAAATGCTAGTATTGTGTTTTTTTTTTACAGAGGGAGTAGTATATATTATAAGAAAACTGAATTAGAATATGGACTGCTAGATAATAAGCCAGAAAAAACAAACCTGCCTACAAATTTGAAGAAATTCAGAAAATCCAGCTAAGCCAAGCCCGCCGGCCAGCTATGCAGACATGGCTGCGAGCGACCTCAACCTCCTACTGTCCCATAAAACGCGGAAGAATCTCGAAGAGTCGCCTCGTCCCACCGCTCCTCTCTCTCTCTCTCCGCCCCGCCTTCGCCCGCCCCAGAGTCCCAGACGCATCAAACCGCTCTCCTCTGTCCCTCCCTCCCCCCTCGCAACCCCAAAGGAGCCCCATACGCAAGGCAGCAAACGCACCGCGCACCGAAAGCTCCCAGGGAGCGGCACGAGGAGGCCCCATTGCGGCATGGCTGCTGCTGCGGCAGCCGCCGGCGTCGGGTTCCAGCTCATTGGCGCCGCCGCGGCCACGCTCCTCGCGGCGGTCCTTGTTGCGGCCGTGCTGGGGCGCCGCCGCCGGCCCCGGCCCCATGCGCCTCTGGTGGAAGGGAAACCCGCGCCGGAGGCAGGCTGCGCGGTCGGTGACGGCGGGACGGACGTCATCATCGTCGGCGCCGGGGTAGCTGGATCTGCGCTGGCATACACGCTAGGAAAGGTGGTTTCCTTTGTCTCATCATTCTTGTTGTTTCCTTCGTTGGCATGGTTCCACTAGGTGGCTAAAAGCTGGAGTGTTGTAGATTGAAAAAAAATCGGCAGTGTCGTATTTTACTGCTTGCTTGGCGATTGGCGTGAAGAACAAGGGCTGGTATTCTATTGTGAACGGGAACGCGGTGTTGAATTTTTGGTTTGGCGTGAGCTACTAGCACGGATCGTAACTTTCTTTCTTTCATTCATGACGTATAGACCCAAGAACAACTTCAGTCCTGTTTTTGCATGCTTTATTTAGTTATTAGTTTATTACAAGACACCCGTTTTTTTCGCGACGAGATTAGATGTCAGTTACCTTTCTGTACTAAGGTTCTGGCTACGGTTGTTAATAAGTCTCAGAGATAGATTAAAAAACAGAAAATAGCTTTGATTTTGTTGCAACTATGTTGGTGAATTTTGCATGTTTACCGTGTCAGTAGAAAGTGAGGTTTCTGTCGGTGTCATTGTTTCTTTTGTAGACATGAAATTTGTGTGGCTTATATGGCAGTAAGGTGCTGCCAAATTTCGTTGTCGTGCAACTGCGAATGGAGAATTTTTCCCTTCTCCTCCAACTAAAGCATTCTTGCAATACTTGAACACCCTGTAATGAACTAGTCAATTCTTGGCCACAACCTTTTAGGATGGAGAATGAAAGAGAGAGGGGGGAGAAAGCAACAGTCAAGAGAAGATTATACGTTTATAAGCCTCAAACATCAGGTCTCTTGACCGCGGACACTAAAAACAAATTCTGTCTAGTAAAGTGACTAGGCATGCTTAATGTTTTCCATAGTGCTATGTTGAAGGTGTACATTTACCTTGAAGAATATGTTGCTGGAGGACCTTACTAATTTTTCATGATGAACGTACATGGCTGTTGAAGGGCAGGCCTGGTGCAGTGGTGAGAGTTGTCTCACTGAGTCACCAGTTCGCGGGTTTGAAGCAGCCTCTCCGCAGATTTTGCGGGGGGAAGGCTTGCCTCGGTTTTTCCCTTCCCCAGACCCCACTCATGTGGGAGCCTCCCCCACCCCCCAACGTACATGGCTGTTGATTCAACACTGTACTGATGTGCTCTTTCTCAACATTAATGAATTGCCAAACTAGTTTAGGTCAAAGAAAAGAGGATTGTCCAATTTATTGACCTACTTAACTTCACATAACTCCAAGCTACTACTCTGAGAGCGATGTATCATCAAAACGAAGATTGGACACATCCTGTTACTTGAATTGACTATTTTCCATTTGTTTGCAGATAGTATTCACATTAGAAATTGTTATATGTATGATACAAAGCAACCAATAAATCTCCTTACCCACATGAAGTATTCGTTTTTATGGGATTTTTTTTATGCACTCATCCTTTTGTCAAATTATGAGCGAGAAAGCTCTGGACAGAAATTATTTGAACTGGCTACATATGGCTGAGACCATGTTAAACTACCTTTTATCTTGTATGCCCAGCTGTCTACAGGGCAGTATACTAGTACTATCCAAGCTTTAATAGTAATCTAATTTGGCTTGATGTAAGCTGAATGATTTATTTTTTCCCAGTTATTGGAGTGAGAACCTAGTTTCACATGGATGTGGATATTATATTGTTTCATCTCTCCTCTCTATTTATTTTAATCTACTTTGTTTGTTGGGAATGTAGGATGGCCGTCGGGTGCATGTCATCGAGAGGGATCTGACAGAACCTGACAGAATTGTGGGTGAACTGTTGCAACCTGGGGGTTACTTGAAATTAATTGAGTTGGGCCTCGAAGGTAAAGCCCATTTTTTGTTATCTTATTCTATTCCTGTGCCATTTCTAAAGTTATTATAACCATACCAGTTTTTGTTTTGTTCAGATTGTGTGGAAGAAATTGATGCCCAGCGTGTCCTTGGTTACGCATTATTCAAAGATGGAAGGAACACAAAGCTTGCTTATCCCTTGGAGAAGTTCCATTCTGATGTTGCTGGCAGGAGCTTTCACAATGGGAGGTTTATACAGAGGATGCGTCAAAAAGCTGCGTCTTTGCCCAAGTAATAAAAATAATTATTATGTGTTTTTTCTTACTTTGCTATATTGTTGCTTATTTGTTGTCCTGTAAACTTCTGTTTGACTGTTTCATTCTTTTGCTAAGGTTAACTCGGTAAGAATGATATTGTATGTGACTTTGTTTGGTGTGTTCTTGATTAGTGCTCTTTGTTTGGTGTGTTCTTGTTCTCATGTTATTGCCCCTTTTCTATTTTCAATTTGACATGTCTTAACTTTGCACGTATCGAATTATTTATGCAACTGCATCTGCATGTGACATATGTTAATATTTGACATGCTGTTGTGTTCATCCAGTGTCCAATTAGAGCAAGGAACTGTTACATCACTTCTTGAAGAAAATGGTACTGTCAAAGGTGTTCAATACAAAACCAAGTCAGGTGAAGAACTAAAAGCTTATGCGCCCCTGACTATTGTATGTGATGGCTGCTTTTCGAATCTACGGCGCGCCCTTTGCTCTCCAAAGGTACAACCTTTATACGGGCGGGCCTGGTGCAAGCGGTAGAGTCTTACCGCCTGTGACCGGAAGGTCCCGGGTTCGAGTCGCGGTCTCCTCGCATTGCACAGGCGAGGGTAAGGCTTGCCACTGACACCCTTCCCCAGACCCCGCACAGAGCGGGAGCTCTCTGCACTGGATACGCCCTTTATATTTATTGCTAAATTTTGTGCCTTGTGGATGTTAATGGATATATGTGCTTAGGTTGATGTTCCTTCATGTTTTGTTGGGCTGGTATTGGAGAATTGCCAACTTCCACATCCAAACCATGGCCATGTTATCTTGGCCAATCCTTCTCCAATCCTATTTTACCCAATTAGCAGCACAGAGGTGCGCTGTTTGGTTGATATCCCTGGTCAGAAGGTGCCTTCCATAGCTAGCGGTGAAATGGCAAATTATCTCAAAACTGTTGTTGCTCCCCAGGTAGTTCTTCCTTTTTAAAATATCAGTGATCTTTTTCTTATTGCAGTTTCTGCTGACTACTTTTTGCAACATGATGGCATAACGGATGATTTTATTTTGTCAGATTCCTCCAGAAATCTCTGACTCTTTCATAGCGGCCATTGATAAGGGAAGCATAAGAACAATGCCAAATAGGAGCATGCCAGCAGCTCCACATCCAACCCCTGGTGCACTTTTGATGGGGGATGCATTCAATATGAGACATCCTTTAACAGGTGGAGGAATGACTGTTGCATTATCTGACATCGTTGTCCTACGTAATCTTCTCAAGCCTCTTCGCAATCTTCATGACGCACCTTCCCTGTGCAAGTACCTTGAATCGTTCTATACACTGCGGAAGGTCAGTCTTTGTATAATCATCAATTACGTGGCTTACCCACAATGTGATCTGTTTCTTTAACACTGTCATAATTTCAGCCAGTTGCTTCCACAATAAACACATTGGCTGGTGCTCTGTACAAGGTCTTCAGTGCCTCGCCTGATCAAGCTAGGAATGAGATGCGCCAAGCTTGTTTTGATTACTTGAGCCTTGGAGGCGTCTTCTCAAATGGGCCTATTGCTTTACTCTCTGGTCTTAATCCTCGACCACTGAGTTTAGTTGCACACTTCTTTGCTGTTGCTATCTATGGTGTTGGCCGCTTGATGCTCCCTCTTCCTTCACCTAAACGAATGTGGATTGGGGCCAGACTGATTTCTGTAAGTCCCTGAATCTTCTGTTTCTTCATCATCTGCACACTGTTCTTTATCATGCCAGCGACAGGCAGTTGCAACCATAATTTTTAGCTTTACAGAGGCACTTCAATATTAATTAATGTCCAGGAAATGACTAAGAGATAACTAACTGCAGAACACTCTGAAACTGGCAGCGGTTCCATGCGTGTATAATTTGGCCAGCTCTTTTAGATATGCTGCATATACCCTTTTTCTAGCTAGCATGGTGTATCCTTCAAATATCTTGTTTTTTTAGTATTTAATGCACATTCAGAAGACGTACAACCCTATTGCAAAAGAGTGTATAATTTGGCCAGCTCTTTTAGATATGCTGCATATACCCTTTTCTAGCTAGCATGGTGTGTCCTTCAAATATCTTCTTAAACCCTTTAATGCACATTCAGAATACGTCCAACCCTAGTGCAAAGTGTATCCACTAGCCGTCTCGTGGTCTCGGCCATATAGAGAGCTACTCTTTTATTATCTCATCTGACTGAAGATTTCTCACTGCAGGGTGCATGTGGCATCATCCTCCCAATCATTAAAGCTGAAGGCGTGCGACAGATGTTCTTCCCTGCTACTGTACCCGCGTATTACCAGGCCGCACCTATGGGAGAATAAGCATGGACAGAGAACCGATTCCGTGCTGCTGATCCAACCATGATCTGATGGCAACTGTTGTTTCACGGATGGCATTTTTCCTGTGTTAGTGGTTGGTTGTTCGTTGCTGTTAGCTGGCTGCTTGTGCTGTCATTGGAATTGAGGAACCTGTATAGTGTGTGTCCTGGGTACTGGTAAAGTTGGAAAATGTATTGGGTTTGTTCTGCACGCATGTCGATTACTGCCAAGCTGTATATGACTCTGTTGAACTAGTGGAACGTTCCCTTCTTCCATGCTGATCAAACTTGGTGCCTGCTTGAGTACGGCATGATGCAGTTTTTGCGTGATCGTGCAGGCGTACTACGGCCGGCGAGCTCTTTTTTTGATAATACGTATCTGTATTTCTAGATAAGGAAAACGTACACACAGGCGTACAAATACAGACACTTACGTAAAGGATACGGATACAACTATTCCAGCCGAACTACACAAAGGACCCTAGAAACAAAAAATATTACAACGATTCCCCTGTGGTCGTCCACCTCGTCGCCGGCCGCCGCCAAGGAAGAAGAAGACGATCACCACCGTGGGCTGGAGAAGTCCCATGGCATGCTGGCTTTGAAGTGGAGTCGAAATTGACACCGGGGTCGAGAAAACAGGATGAAGCCGTGACAGCCGTCGTTGATCGCCCATCGAACGGGGCCACGCCCCAACTCCTCTAACTCCCGGATCTGTGCTCGCCGTCGACGGCCATCGCCGCCGAGGGAAGAAAGAGCCAGATCCGGCCAGCCACCAACCACAGCACCCACGAACAGAACCGCATCCAACAAAAACATCACCTGGCGAAGACGAAGGTGCGGCCGGCGAGCTCTTTGCTGCTTGCAAGCGGAGGATTCGATTGGCAAAGATAGCGAGCGCGGGCATATGCCACTAGGTGCCTGGATTTTTGGGCCGGGTCGATCTTGCGAATTCAAGGCCCATGGTGAGATTTTTTGGGCCGGGCCGATCTTGCGACTTGCAAGGCCCATGGTGCTTGTTGTTGTTGCTGTAGCGTAGCGAGTGAGGATTTTGGGCCGGCCCGATCTTGCGACTTGCAAGGCCCATGGTGCTTGTTGCTGTAGCGTAGCGAGCGAACACTTTTTTTTTTCTTTCTGACAGATGACAGAAGAGAGCATCCTGTTGCGTTGATGATATCTGTGTGTGGTGATTTGTGTGACCCATCGGGGTCGTGTTTCTGAATGAAGCCATCCACTCAGGGAGCAGCTTAGAAAATCATTCACCAACCTCCTAAATCCTAATCCTATGCAGCCTCTGGAAGCTTTTGAGATTTGGATCGAGTTGTGCTCCGGTCTTTCGGGATAAACACAAGAAAATGTCACGCTGGCACGTACCACGCGGCCTGTCTCCTCGTCTGATCGAGCTGCTGGAGGCCTGGAACTGGAAGGAAGAAGACCAGTGTGGCCGCGTCGTCTCCGTATAACCGAGTTCTTGCAGCGGATTACGATAGGATCCACTAAGCATCTACACACACCAAAGCACACGTTTCTTTTCTTGATCCGGATTGGCACGCCGACGTGGACTCGGAGAAAAAAGAATGCCTCCTACTGGCCTTGCTTCAACTTGGATGGGTTTGGTGCACGTTCTTTTCGCCACGTGAAAACGTGCAGATCGACGCGATCGCTCTGTGCTTGCGATGCTACTGCAAGACTGATCGTATCTACCTTGTGACGTTACACGAGGCACTGAAATGGAGCTGTCGATACAGAGACGCCAAGGAAGATCATCAGTGCACGAGGGAGTTGGAAACCAAATCAATGACTGCTCAATGGCCTCACTGATCGCCACCAACACACGGTTTATTTTTCAATTGCTCCAACACTACATGTTGATCAATTAATTAATTGAGTATATATATGTTCTACCTGATGATAATACCGACGGCTGTTCGCAGCGTAGGATCGAGTGTTGTGGCAATGGCATTAATTCCCCAAATGCTATCACCAAAATCTACTCTACTGCTACTGTCCATCCCTTCTTGTCCTCGGCCAGGCCCATCTGAATGGATGTCAGAGTCGTGTACAGCTCCTGCGACACCGTGTCCGGGCCCGTTCTGAATTCGTACCTGAAACGAACACCCAAGAAACCGACGAGGAAAATCAGTGGATCTGTATATATGTTCATGTCCTCTTAATGACGAAAAACATGTCCGGGCACGCCAAGAAAGAACGAACGAGGAGAATTCTTACTTGTTGCCCTGGTACGTAACTGTGGACACCGGAGCAACCACCACCGCGGTCCCGGTGCAGAATACCTCGTCTGCACCCATCAGATCGTCGATGGAAACGAGGCGTTCTTCAACCTTGTGTCCGCGGCCAGCTCAGTTCGAGGCTACCAGAAGATCATGCAATGTACTACTACTGTAACACGAGCGAACTGACAGGACAAGCCACACAGAAATACTAAAGTTTTTGCCTGAAGAACACGAGTCAGTCTGTGGTGATCGACCTTGTGTCCGTGGTCCCTGGCGAGCTCGATGACGCTCTTGCGCGTGATGCCCGGCAGGATGGTGCCCCGGGTGGCCGGCGTGGCGACGACGCCGCCCTTGACGACGAACACGTTGCACGACGACACCTCCTCCAGGTAGCGCTTGTGGACCGAGTCCAGGTACAGCACGTCCGTGAACCCCTTGCTCTTGGCGTCCGTCTGTGCCCTCAGCACCTGCACATCACACACACCCGTCGTCAGCCGGCCAGTCACTGCACGTACTGCACCGCACAATGCGCGCCGCCAGAACGCGTCGTCAGGCGATAGTATACTCTAGATGTGGGCGAACGGAGGTACCGGCGCGTAGTTGGCGATGGTCTTGACGCCGCCGGTCCCGCCGGGCATCGCGCGGTGGAACTCGTCATGCACCACCAGGTTGATGGGCGCCAGGCCCTCCTGAAAGAAGAAAACAGTCAATCAAGGTCGCGCCGTCGTGGGCCTGTCATTCGTGTCTCGGTTCCGGCGGCCGGACTCTGTTCAACCGGAGAGGCAGTGTGGCACTGACCTTGAAGTAGTTCCCGACGGGTGCGGCGTAGATGAGGAAGGTGTACTCGGGGGCCGGAGCCAGCCCAAGAATCGGGCCGCTCCCCATCAGCAGAGGCCGGAGGTACAGAGCTCCCTTTCCCTGCGGCGGCACCTGCAACGTACGGAACGCATGCAAGTGATCGCTGAGTGACATCGATCAAAGAATGATCGCTGTTCGGCGCGGGGAAACGGGACGCCAGAACGGACGCACATACCCAGCGCCTGTTGGCGAGGACCGTCTGCTTGACGGCGTGGACGAACTGCTCCACGGACGGTGCCGGCATGCACATGCGCTCGGCGCCGTGCTGCATCCGCCGCGCGTTCTCGTCCGGACGGAACAGCGTGTACCCGGCCTTGTCCGGCCGCCGGTACGCCTTCATCCCCTCGAACAGCCCCTGCAGGAGGCGGCAGCCGTTGGATGCAGGCAGGCCAGGCACGCGACGAATTTTTTTAACTAAGATATTTAATTAGCGTCGATGTCTAGGGAGCAGGGATGTATCGCCATCCTCAATAGTTTATACTAGAGAAAGAGAGAAATCGTGTGCTCCACATGCCTGTCCTGGACGAACCGAACCGAAACGAACCTGGGCGTAGTTGAGAACGCCGGAGGAGGGGCTGAGCTCGATGTTGCCGTAGCGGCAGAGCTCGCCGCGGGGGAAGTCGCCGCGGTCCTCCGGCGAGCACCGCGTGACGTACATGTAGTCGGTCGGGGTGAGGCCGAAGCCGAGCTTGTCCCAGTCGATCTCGCCGCCGCCGCCGCTCTCCTCGTCGGACCTGCGCGTACACACGTTCAGTCGTTCGCACACATGCATGTCGCTGCGGCCCGCAGATGGGGAAAGCGAAACAATAGAGAATAATGGTGGGATTCTTCGCGCGGGCGCGTGCCACTCAGACAGGCTCACCTGTCGACGTGGTCGAGCTGCGGCAGCGACGACTGCCACCGGCGCGGGAGAAGCGAGCAGCCGTCTCCTCCTCCGGCCTGCAAGTCGAGAGCAGCGAAAGGGGCAAGGTTACTCCGAGCTCTTAGCATGGATCTCATCGCGCCAGGAAGAGCCATCGTGGACGCGACCATGGTCCGCCGAGAAAGAAACGATCGATTACGGAAACAGACGAATAATAAAAGCATGCACAGTTCTGCCTCCACGCGGCGCGCGAGAGAGATTTATGTATGCATGGATTTGAACGGTGCACAGCTACAGCTACACACACGACGAGAATCGCGCACGCACCGTAGCCAAAGCCAACGCCCTTGCCAGGACACTCGAGAGGCCGCCATGGCCGCTGCTGCTGCGAGCCCACGGAAGGAGAGCGCCCTTGGCAGAGGTCCACGCAGCCATGCACGGTCCGCCCCTAGACCCGGCCAGCTGCGATCGATGTCAGCGAAGCTCTTTTGTGGGAGGATCGAGTTGGTTGCAACCTTCGTTCACGGGCTACCAATGGCTGATGGGTTAGCTCTAGTTGGAAAAGAAGGAAGGAGGCAAATTAAACGGGCACAGTTCGATCGAAGCACCACCCGTCTATGTCTCTATACGGAGTGGGCTGTACTTATTGCAAGCGATGGACGGCCTGGCGGCGTCGCGGCGAACGCTCGTTTTTTCCGGCGCCGGCTGTGTATTCCACTGCTGGTATAGTGGTCATGCAGAAAGTGATGGAACTTGCGTTGGCAGCGAGTGGCAGGGAGCGTGCAAATTGCGCGTTCGATTGCGTCAGGGGGTGTTATGGGGGCGTGTACGAAGATGAAGACGACCAGGCGACTAGCGAGTAGCAGCAACCCATTTCCTGGAGAGTGGAGAGGGACAAGTTAATCGGAGACTTGCCAGACTGGAAGGAGGCCTGCCTGCCGGTCTGCACGCGTGGGGGTCAGAGAGCTTGGCAGCTTGCCCGCCGGGAAACTAGGAAGGAGAGGAGTTCATGCATTCAGGGTTGTGCGTTGAGATCGATCGAGATCATGCCATTGCCATTGCTGCTTTCGCTTTCACTATCTAATCCAGTTGTCGCAGGCTCGCAGCCGAGCGTGCAGGTGTCCAAATTTACTTGTGCTTCGTCGTCCTTTTTCCCTGGCGCTGCTTCACATGAGCTAGCTGCTAGCTTGGTTGCCTCACCAACCCGCATTCTTTTGAGCTGGTCACCGATCGAGGTGCAAGCAGCAGTCCTAGCTTGCTTGCTTATCCTTTTGGTTTTTTCCTTCACGCGGGCAAGGCTTAAGTGCACGCATGCATTGCGAGCCCATGACTTGCTGTCTTATATCTCCAAAGTTATCTGCATTAAATCGCATGCATTGCATTCCAGGGAGGAACCATAATTAGAGCCCATGACGTGCTTTTTGTTGTCAAAGTTTGGGCAATACTCTTATATGGTAGGTTCCGGAAAAAGATGCAACCACGGTTTACGTACCGGTTGAAGTAATCAACGTTGACCAAGTTTCTAAAAGTAAATAGTATTCATATTTGTGGCTTCGAATCATTTTATTATAAAAATACATTTCGTAAAAAATATAATATTATTTATTTAATATCATAAATATTAATATTTTTTATCTATAGTTGGTCAAACTTATAAGATACTAAAAATGGCACTGTGCTAGAATTGTATTCTTTTTAAACAGAAGGAGTATTATTTAGGCATGTTTAGTTGGATGGAGGGAGTATTATTTAGGCAGGTTTAGGCTTTATTTAAATCTAGGGGCTAAAATTTTAAGGGTGTCATATGAGAGTATTCGGACAGTAATAATAAAATAAATCATAGAAGTCATCAATACTCCGCTAGACGAATTTATTAAACCTAATTAATCCATCATTAGTATATGTTAATGTAGCTTTAATGTAGCATCGTATTGTCAAATCGTGGACTAATTAGGTTTAAAAAATTTGTCTTTCAAATTAGTCGCAATATGTACAATTAGTTATTTTTTTATCTATAGTTAATACTCTATACATATATCTAAACATTCGGATAGAAAATAAACTTTAGAAGAGACTAAACAATGTTTAGATTGCAAATTTTTGCAATCTAGATACTGTAGCATGTTTCGTTTGTATTTGATAAACTTTGTTCGATCATGGACTAACTAGGCTCAAAAGATCCGTCTCGTGATTTACAACCAAACTATGTAATTAGTTATTTTTTTATCTATATTTAATGCTCTATATATGCGTCCAAAATTTAATGTGATGAAAAAAGAGTGAAAAAACTTAAAATTTAGAGACAATCAAAACAAGGTCTTAGTGTAAAAGGGACGTCACTCGATCTGCGCCTGCAGACCCATGATGAGTGTCCAAAGAATCTGATCAGCAGAGTGCAGACGCATGGATAGGCGCGCTCATTATTGAATGGACGGGACCGGCCGTACCGGCTGACCATGCCGTCGGTGAGGTGACCCAAAGAACGAACGATCTTCACAATTGATATGTATCGACGTGGATATGCGTCGGATACTGCCTGCTATCCATCCGCTTAGAAGTTGGGATAATCACCATGTTAGCTTGTTATCAACCGTAATATAGAATTTTTTCTCTTAATAAAACAACATCAGCCAACTTATAAGTCATATAAACGATCAAACAAACATGGTGAATTCTATTTTGGATTTCAAGGATAGAACACTTTTGTGTGTATGCATATTTGGTAAGATTTTATTTTTGGTTGGATGGATGATGACAAATATAATGATAAATTTATTGATCACTATCATGACACTCATATGTCCTATCTTCTTTTCTCATCTCACCCCATCTCCGCTCGCCCCCTCATTGTTGCTCCTATCCCCTCCTGTTCCACCCACACCATTGCCCTCTCCTGCCATCTGTACCGCCGCTCCGCCCCACGCTGACACACCATTGCCTACGACTTCACCCTACGCCGGCGCCCCACTGCCCTATGCCCCATGCCCACCTCCGTCCATGGCCTCCGATTCTTGTTGCATCTGCTCGCCTCTCACTAAGACGTGCTTTCACAACAAGGCATGCCACCACCCTCCACACCCACCGCGCCTGCGTAGGCTTTCCCTTGCCCACGGCTACACCCGTCCCCGACCACTCGGGTCTCTCCTAGCCGAGCTGGCGTGCGCTAGAGGAAGATGGAGCTCATGCTGTCCAAGTGAAGCGAGCGTGCCCAACCAATTTTCTAGAGCAATTTGGTTAGGCATCTAGTAGGAATATTCTCAGCAGGTGCTTGTTCCATTCTATATGTGCACAAAACCAAACATTAATGGGGTGTTTGGTTCTTTAGTCGCTCCAAAAATTCATGTCACATCGAATGTTTAGATACTAACAAAGAGCATTGAATATAGATTAATTACAAAATCAATTACATAGATGGAGGCTGTCGGGTTTATAAACACGGGGTCCCTCGGGGACCGGCTTCCACGCCAAGGCTCGGCCCAAGCAGACAACACACAACTCATGGGCCGGCCCAAGAGTCTAAAACAATAGGCCGAAAAGGGCGGTCCGGTCACCGACCGGAAGGTCTGGCCGAAGAGGAACATCGCCCGCTCGTTCAACTACTTCGGCCCACCTCTCCGATCGGAGCACTCGCTTCGGACTCCAGCCGCCTCCGGACGGCCTCTCCGATCGGAAGGCCTGGCCTAAGCGCTACTTCTGACTCCGACCCCGCGTCTCCGACCAGGGTTCGCAGAAACCCTGCTCATTGCTCTTCTTCGAGTGGCACGACCAGAGCCGACTAGGGCCATCCGATCGGGGACGCCCGCTCGGAAAGGACCAGGGGACAAAACGGAGAAAGCAAGCCAGGGCGCACAAATCAAACCACAGTACCAGGGACCATACCATGTATGCATGCAGGAACAGTACTCTGCAACCACCCTAACACAAGCAGTATTGTAGGCGCCGATATTTCCCTCTACAGTATTGTGGGCGCCATTAGCTCCCATACGGTAAGGCCCCCACGTGCCTCTGGGCATCGATAGTATTGTGGGCGCCGGGATTTACCGTACCAGGTGAACGTGGTGAAACTCCTCACATGCCTCTAGGCATCAACAGTATTTTAGGTACCGACATCTGCCATTTCTGAAGAAGGCAACACAACCTCCCATATGCATCTGACATTCTACAATGACATCAGCAGTGTTGTGGGTGCCTACCATTATCTTGTACCCGCCGGTATGGGCAACAAAGCCCAGTAGCATATGTACCCTCACCCTCTCACTTGTAAAGCCATCCCCTTTATCTATAAAAGGGGATGCGCTTCCTCCAAACAAAGGAGAGTCTTTTGAGTCTTTTTAGTTAACCAACATCGATCAAGTTCACTAGCTAACAACCACAGAACCGCCAGGTTCGGACCTCAAGCACACGCTTGAACAACTTAGCTCATAGCGGAGCTCCTGTCGCTCTTGGCCCTTTCGACCGGAGCCGACCGGACCTCTTACACACCCCTTCTTCCTCCTTGTCGTTTGTAACCCCACAACAAACTTCGAGCACCTAGGCTCAGGAATAAAGTCACTGACCGACTCAAACTGAATGTAGGGCACGTTGTCTGAACCAGTATAAACCCTGTGTCATTGAGTGTTAGGCCACCTCTGATCACAACGTACGGCAAAACTACAAATATTTACTAGTTGGTCACTTTCTATACCGACAGTTGGCGCCGTCCATGGGGAAGACGCTGTACGTTCAACACTTTTTGGTCATCGGGTGGCCCACTTTTCTGCCACCCTCGCCGTGGCGGGCTCGGGCGATATGATTCGCTTCGGCTCACTAGAGTTTCCCGCACTCTCACCTATTGGGATGTGGGATCCCCCTGTCTTCGAGACATCCTAGGCCTTCCTCTTTGGAAGCCTAGACTTCATCGCCAACCGACTCGGCGTACTACACCTCCGCAAGGAGGCTCACGTCCCAGCACCCGTCGGAGGGGCGCCCTTCATCAACTCCGGGATGCACGACTTCGACGACGCGACATCTGCGCTTCATTCTGAGCAAACTCCCTACTCAAACCCCACTGTAAGTAATATACGTACTATTATTTACTCTTTATTTACTATCTCCCACCGATCATCCGGAGGGACTGTATCGCCCATGCCACAAACACTGTATGATCGGTTTCCCTATGGCCTCGCGTCCTCCACAGATGCGTACGCTCGGGGGCTCCAAAGAATGCTGACGCCATCCCCCCTCGCATCCAAATTCGTGGGAATGGCAGGCTACGCTCCTGCCGCTTTCCACGAACTCCCAGATGACGAGGGCGAGAGCGACGGTTCCAGCATCGGCAACGTGGCACCCCGCCACCGTCTGTCCTGGGAGTGCGCTATGGTGGACGCTCTGGGACAGCCGCCGGTGGTTGTGGAGTCTGCGCAGACTCACACCCTTCTAGATCCACGTGTGGGGGC